GGTGAACGAATAAAATATTGAAATATGGTGTTCGATAGTACTCGTCATAGGCTATCAAGCAATACATGAAACAATTTGAAGATGACATATATATATCAGAGAATACTGGCATAACAAGATTTCCAAGTTTTTTTTTTGCCGACACCTGTATATCGGATTTGAATGTAGACGATGTTGCTTAATAAGATCATATTTATTTGACAAACTCAAATTCGTTTGAATGATTAAACATATTGATGCATTTGTTTTTTTTATCTTCGACTGTCATAGTTACAAAATATTAAAAAAAATACAAGACGGTAGATGAAGATATTTCTATCTTCCAATTTTTCCCCTGGACCGAGTGAATTAAACTCGTGAATAAACAAAAAACAAAAATAACTTCGTCCCAAATTCCATCATTAACATTCATCGCCGACATCCTTCTTAATTCATTTTCCTATCATATAAACATTTATTATGTTCATTACTTTATTTTTATGTTAATTCTTTTTTTTGTTTGTATTTCGATAACGATCGATTGTCTTATTTTGAAAAAACAAAAACAAAAACAAATGAAACTTATCTACGAAACAGATATGGATGTATTACCATGGACATTTATGTCACGTAATGTACATGATGCATGTATTGAAGGTCGTACAAATGATATTGAACAAATGTATCGTGAAGGTGCTGATCTTAATGATTCAGATGAATTTGGAAATACACCATTATGGCTTGCTTATATTAGTGGTCATTTAGATACAGTATTTGCATTACTTGAATTAAATATTGATATAAATCGACGTACAGGTTCAATATTAGCATCAGATTTTCATCGAGCATGTGGTTGGGCTGATGAAGTTTTTATTGATATATTATGTAATTATAATGCAAATATAAATCTTACTGATCGTATGAAAAAGAAAAAAAAAATTTTTCTCTAATAAAAATTTATATATATATATATATATATATATATATTTTAATAGGATTTGGTAAAACACCATTAATTTATGCAATTGAATATCGAACATCATTGTCAGAAACAACTGAAGAAGATCTTATATGTTTATTAATTATAGAAAGGTCAAAAGGAAAAATATCGAAACAAAAAAAAAGCACTACTATCCAACTAAAAGTCTATCAACGGACATCGCAAATGACTTCATTTTATTAATTCACGAAAAAAGAAAATCTTATGAGGAAAGCTTTCCAGATGTCAAAATGCTTTTCGATTATGATGAGTCTTCATTCTTGAGATATCGAAATTTTGCATGAACAAAATTCTTATTAAGATTAGTTGTGATTGTACAAGTATTATCCATTCAAAAAAAAATCAATGGATTTTGTTGTATAACAAATAATTCTAGCATAAAACTAGTTAGCGATCTGCAGTTTTTAGTATTCGAAAGAGGACAGATAAATTTATTAATCTATGTAAAATAATCAGTTCTCAGTGACCATTTTAAAAACAATGTCTTTGTAAATTCTATTGCCAAGTTATAAGTATTTTCCTGAAACTCTCGAAATGAGTTGATATAGAAGATTTTGCCCATGTTGATACAAATGGTAGTGTTGAAGCAACATGAAAAAATCAGATCAAAATTTTATAGCCTGATGTTATTTTATAAAAGGAAACAAATATCATCACTTATGTCAACATGGACAAAAACTTCTATGTCAACTCATTTCGAGAGTTTCAGAAGAATACTTATAACTTGGCAACAGAATTTACATAGATTGATAAATTTATCTGTTCTCTTTCGAATGCTGAAAACTGTAGATTGCTAACTACTTTTATGCTTGAGTTATTTGTCATACAATAAAGTTCGTTAACTTTTTGAATAGATAATAATTACACAAAAATTTTAAGTCGAAACTCGATTTTCTACGAGATCATAAATTTCGATATTTCGAGAACAATCACTTGATAGATAAAGATATAATAAGAAATGTATATTGTTAATGAGAATTTTCGAAAACATTTTTCCTTTCGACCTTTCTACAGTCAACTATCGAATTGAATCGTTTTTTTTTTGTGTTAGAATTTTTTTTATTAATAAACAAAAAAAAACAAAAATTAGAAATTTAAAATATTATATAAAACAATCAAATTATTGCAAAATAAGTCATTCTTTTGTATTATCTTTATGGGAAATAGTGAATAGATTTGATGGTTGAGGTGGAACAGTAACCTATTAGAAAGAAAAAAAAAATAAGCAAAGCAATAATTAAAAATAAATATGTTTATCAATGATTTAATAAATGTCATATATATATCGTGCAAAGGTTAAATTTTCAATAAAAACGAAAAAAAAACGTGTAAATGTTAAGAATATATTAGGCAACCCAACCTACTTATTTATCTCTAAAATATATGAAATTTTGTAACATCTAGAAAATCTAATATTTTGTTTTTAAATATAACTTACAATTGAATCAAGTACATGACTAGTTTGTTCAACATCTTGAAATGCTTGTCGCCATGCTTCTCGTTCCTAGTAATTTAACAATTTATATATTGAAAATTATTGACATTCATAATAAAATGTACCTCTTCATCCATACGTTCATATTCTTGAATTTCAGCATAATATTTTGGTTTTGTTATACCAAAAAACCAAGCTAATTTTTCTCCTGTTGCATCACATATTTCATAACCTTTTTTTGCTGATCGTTTTGCATAATACCACATCCATGGAAGCCATTGAAGTTGATTCTATACAGAGAAAAAAAGAATGATAAATGATATATCGGAATCTATTGATTTAAATGATAGAATTGAGCGAATGAAATCAATACTAATGTACTTAGAACATTTCAAAAATAGTGACAGAAGTATTATTATTTTATCATTTTTCAACTAATAAAATTTCGATAAGAGTTGTTTGTTATGATATGTAATAGTGGGAGACCCTACTCGAGAATTCATTGCAAAGTTCCAGAGGACTCCCTTTCGGAAATCTTCGGGGATTCCAATAGTGAAAGTTGATTAGGGGGGAGCCATGAAGGAATCTCTTCAACTGTTCTCTTTCCAATTTCAATGGTTTTTTTCTGCCTATAGATACTACATAGTGTTCTAATAAACAAACTAGTATTTTCGAATTTTTAAATGAGATTTTGTGCATATAGAAAAATCAATTAGACTAGTTTCTATAAAAAAAAATTCACAAGTTTTAAACAAAGTATATGAGACTTTCAAGATATAGACCCTAAAGTAGTATAGTTGAATTATCTATATATGTAAAGCTTTAAATCAAAATTCGAAAATTCAAGTTTTTTTTATTAGAACACTGTGTAGCATCCATAGCCAAAAAAAATCATTGAAATTAGCAGAGGGCAACTGAAGAGACGTTCTCATCAGCCTATCCTAAGAGATATTGAAAGCTATTTTAAAGTAACTTTTAGGGTGAGCTCATTCTGCGCTGAAACACTTCCTTCATCAGTAACATATGACGATAATATTAGCCCATGTCGCCTTTTTTTCTTACAACTACGTTGCAGTTATAAGGTTACTGCGCCGCAGTGCTCGTATCGTACGAGCCAATGTATATGATAGAACTAATCACAAACGGTTCCTGCCTATTTGTAATTGGTCATACCCTAACGCTAGTAGAGTATCCAGCCACAATTCAAATTTTCGAAATGAAAACATCGTGTACGAAGTTTTCGGGGATTGCGAATTCGAATCCGAGATCAGAGTTTTATTTTATTAATTTTTTTATTGTAATTTTACAATTTATTTTTATTATAAATAAAATTAATTCAGAATAAAATATCGAACTTCAGATTTGAGTTTCTAACCAATGAGTTTTTTTAGTAACTGCATCGCAGTTCGATTGTAATCGAACACATGAATGATTACATTTTGTCTTTGATGTGTATCTTCTTTATTTTTCTTATCTTCTCTAATGCCTAACATATAAGAGCATGATAAAAGTGATGTTGATAGAAATACATAAGCTCATTAAATGTTCGAAATAATCGTCCAGGTTATTCACATTTAATTGCATTCGTTGAATCCATTTATTCAATGTTTTCTTTTTCAAAGAATTCATGAACTTGTTTACAGCGCACGATGCAACGATTTGATCGGATAGATTTTGTTTGATTAATGAGGGAACATCTTCAAATGTGACTCGCCAATCAAACTAATAGGTTGTATGGGCTTTAGAATATCCTGAAAATTTCAATCTAAAGGAATATTTTGTTTTTCTAAAATATCAACTGTAGAAAAAACTGGGCTTTCTTTGTGACATATGATCAGTTTTAGGATATTTAACATCTCAAGAAGAATATGTCACTTTAGACGGAAATTTTCAAGACATTCTAAAATCGACGCAACCTGTTGATAGGCAACATATTAATTCTATTGACGAGTCACAGTCGGAAGACATTCCTTGTTAGCCACGGAACTGAAGTTTTCTGCGCTATTTTTATGAAAGAAGATTGGATTTACAGTACCTGTCTTTGACGTCTCCTCTTTATTAAACTCACCGAAATCCTTCGATTTACAATATATGCACATCAGTTTTGCTAATAACATTTAGCAAAAACTACCGTAACTCTGTAGAGAAGATTTATGAATCGAATTCCTTCTAGAGTTCCTCTAATCTCAAAATCTTTTTTATTAGTCGATCTTCTGATCAATCTTGCACTATACTCATAGAACTAGAGCTTTAAAAAAAATGTATATATCAAAATAACTCACCGGATCAATTTGTTCTTCAACAGTTGGCCTTGGCTGTTGTGGTTCATCTAATTCACTATCATCACTATCACTTTCATGATAATTTTCGCCTAAATTTGATAATTGAATATTAACTGTGCTATTATTATTACTTGTCATCTTAAATAATGAAAAATAATATACATGAGTTAATAATAATAATAATAATAAAAAAATTTTAATGAAGTTATTAATGTTTTCCCATTGCCTCTTTTCTTATTTACAAAAAAAATAAGTTCAACTATAATAGTAAAAAATAAAAAGAAGACAAAACCATTAATTGAATTTACTGTCGACGTTGAAATTCAACAACAACAGTATTAGCAGCCATATCATAACTTGTTTGACGATTTTGTGATGTTAATAAAGCAACAATAATAGCTGGAAATAAAAATGTTGACATAAGAGTCTTAAATGATGAACGAGTTAATGCTCTAAAATCAAAATAACATATATATATACATATAAAATGGTGTAAAAAAAGATTAAAAACAACGATTTGTTTGGTTTTTTCATAATGTTAAACACGTAGCTCCAATCGAAATAGTGATTTTAATAGCCAATGGAGTTTTCTATCCAATACACTTTATAACAGAATTTCACAGATGAACAATGATGGCAAGGCTTTGTCAGAGCTATTTTTAAACGGTGCCACCTTAAAGAGCACAAAACTCTGAGCAAAATGAGGGGTCGCCGACTTTTCTACGACCTTCTCATAAAAAGTTACAAGCATCACTAAAATAATGAAAAAACGAAATTTTTTTTTTAAAATCGACTAAAAACGCCTTTTTCATGATTTTTGTGATGCTTGTAACTTTTTGTGAGAAGGTCGTAGAAAAATCGGTGATCCCTCATTTTGCTCAGAATTTTGTGTTCTTTAAGATGGCACCGTTTAAAAATAGCTCTGGCAAAGTCTTCTAGAACCTGAAAAATACCGTGTTCGGTTTTTTTAGGAGCCTTACCATCATTCATTGTTCATCTATGAAATCTTGCTATAAAGTGTATTGGATAGAAAACTCCATTAACTATTAAAATCACTATTTGGGTTGTAGCTACGTGCTTAACATTATGAAAAAAATCAAAAAAAAAATCGTTGTTTCTAAACTTTTTTCCATCATTTTATATCAAAAGATTCAAATTTATTTTTATAAAAAAATAAATCTTACGCTGCACTATCAAGTATTGTACCAGGTTCAATAGTAACATCACCATTTTCTTGTATTTGAAGATGATCACATTTAAGAACACGTAAACGAAAAAGACGTTTACCTGGTGTTGCACCATAACGTGTAAGACAAAAACTCTGAAAATAAAAAAATTAAATATATATATATGTATATTTTTTTTTCCATTAAAATAACTAAAATAATATTTAACCTCAAATGCAATGCTTCCTATTAAATATGCAAGTTCAACACAAATAAGTTCAATTGGAAATGATAGAGTTTCATCATAAATTAAACTTGATATCATATAATTAAGTGTAAGTCGACTTGCATCAATTAAATGTAAATAATTTGAAAGAATAAATATGATAAGAATTCTTTAACAAAAAAATTAAAAAATAAAAATAACATTTTAATATAAATTTATTTACTTAAATGCATGTAAAAGAATAAAATCAATTGCTTCAGCTAGAAAACGACGCCAGATTGATGCAACTTTTAAACGTGCTAATAACACAAAATATTTTCGTTGTTTATAAAAAAAGAAACTATTCTAACCATTTCTAATATCTGCTAAAGGATCAACAGGTACTGGATGATTTATTTCAGTAGTCGTTGTAAGAAGATTAACACCTGTAAGAACAGGTAGTTGTTGTACCAATGAATTAAACATCATCATACTTGAGAACAAAAAAAAAAAGAATTTTTTTTTTTTTTTCATTTTAAAAATATTATAATATTTACTTATAATAAGTAACATAACTGTTATTCCATGCATAATATGCTTCTTGCCATTTGGCTATTAATTTTGAATATTCATCGACTGTCATCTTTTGTGGTTTGTTTTCTACAGACATTATACAATCACTGCTCATTATTTGCTTTTATTTTAATACAAATCAATAATGATTGTAAAGAATGTAAATGAGTACAATTTTATATATAAAAATCCACGGTCTTTGCATGCAATGGGTTCTTTTTCGAACCATTTATATCAATGACAATCGATGAGAAATGAACAACAACGACATCTATCGCTATATAGTCAAGTGACAAATACAATATGACAAGTTTCTAAGAAATAAATGATGCCGGAGACATTGTACTTTGAGATTAGTTTTTTTTACGGCTTTCCTTCGCCTGCAAAATTGGAACTTTTAGTGTAGAATGCGTTTTCAAGACACTTCAATCTACGACAGTCGGATTACTCTCATTTCAAAGAGAACTTCTTACCACTTCTGATGAGGGAACGCATTTTTTTTTTGGATCCTCAAAATTGTAAAACTTCAAAAATATTAGAAGGTGTTTTCTAGAAAAATTCATGATTGCTTCAGTGTTGTAGGTCAAATACAAAATCTCTTTTCCTAATCTGAAAGAGAATATATCTATCTATCGAATAAAATAAAAATGTAGTTTATTAGAATGAATACTATTGAAAAGAAGTTTGTTCAGAATTCGAAAATTTATTTATTTTACGTACCAAAGAGTTTGATCATGCGGTTCTTCAGCTACATCTTGACCTATGATAAGGAACCGTAACTGTAATAGCAATTGAAATTTTCCTCTAAAATTGGTATTAACCTTTACGAAAATTGGAAGTTAAGTACTTTTCTTTAGAAAAGTCGATTTTTTGGAGGAGCAGGAGCATAAGAACGGGAAAACTGATTTTCCATATAGACAAACTTCAATAAAAGTAATTAGTTTTGTTATGAAAGTTTCAGATTTTTTAAATTTGCTTCTTTTCTGAAATAAAAGAAAAATCAAAAGATCTAAAACATTCACCAAGCCTTGTCTCTATTATAGTTCTTCTCGTCTTAAAATTTCAAATAGGTATCAAACGTTGGGATGATATGTTTGTTGATGCGATTATTGAACTTGTTTTCCATAAAAAGATAAAAGATTATTTTTAACTAAATTCTTAGTATGAAATTCGAGGATTGATACATTTCATTATTTTGGAGATACTCATTGTAATCATTGTTTTCTCAAAATATTTAAAAAATTCAATCATTTCTGTGGAAAAATCATCTTTGAGAATCGACAACATCTCCTGAAATAAGCTTTCTTACTTCTGCTATTCTCATAGCATAGCAAAGGTATACAGCTTAGGAAATATAATCAGTTCAAGTTTCATGCGTAAGAGTTTCGTATGGAAAAAGATTTTCTAAAAATCCATTCTGTCAAAACAACTTCTGTCTTATTTTATACGTGACTAAAACAGTATAAGATTGTCTGTCTGTATATTTTCTGACTCTTCATTGTCAGGATCATTACAACGGACAAAATTAACTTCTGATGCTTATCTCTAGTAAATCAAAAAGAAAAAATTACAAAAGAATGCGTAACTACCTGTGTCTTGTCGACGGTTTTCGTTATCTCGGGTAAAAGATGAAGACTAAATCGCCATTTAGTAAAATTTACTGAAGGTAAATGAAAACTTATATTGAAGATCTGAGAACTTTTGTATCATCTCGAGACAATGATCTCTCGGATGAGTTTCTAGTGACTCACTATTCTCTATATTATCGTAACACAAACAAAAAAATTTGTTGCAGTGGAAAACATGCAAAATATAGAGGCTGAATATGTACACGACCGACTACAGAAACGTTATGCTTCATACCGAATTAAGAATAGTTCTATGATTCTATTAGAGATAACCGAAACTATTTAATTTTTTTGTTAAAATAACCGTCTTATTTCAAATGAATATTATCTAAATTCCTTGTCTTATGATAGAAAACTCAAATGTTCTGCTTGTCAGGGGTACATTTTTAACTATTAATACATAATAAAGAGGATTTTAATAGAAGACTTTTGTGGAACATTTTTCTGCTTGGACAGAATAGAATACCTCCGGTTCTTCTATTATAGGAGGAGAGGTGTTTTGTTTATATATTGTTTTTCTTAGATGAAAAAATACATCAACAGTTTCATTTCTACTTATGACATCTTTTTTTTTTTCATTCTTCTTGAACCAGTTGCAGTTTACTGCCCATCAACTCAGTGTAGTTAGCGCACGCTGCTACAAAAAGTGCATGTGCTCATAGAATTGATATCTGAATGTCAGTGCAATTCATGAACTAGGAGATTTTGTTTTGATAACACATCGTCAGTATTTACAGCAACATTGAAGATTCCTAAATCGAACTGTGTCTATTTCTAGTATATATTAGTTATAAGCAGATACTGACGATGCCAAGAAAAAAAAGGTTAACCAATTTCCTATTCATCATACACCAGAGATAAAATATCATAGAGAAACTTTTGTTTTATAGTTATACAATAAGCTGAACAACAGATCTTTTTTTTTTATTGAAGAAAATCTGACGATTAGTTTGTGTAGTTTTAAAAATTTTAATTCAATCATTTATATACTTAGAATATACCAAAAGTTCTGGCCACAATATTCAAAGGATCTTGTCCAGAATCAATTTACTGAGAGACGACTGAACGTCCATATCCACAGACAAGATGACCAGAGATGCTACGTATATGAGGTTGTAGTCCGTCAACTCTAGTTTCTTTAAAGTGTTATGAAAAAAGGATTTACTATATAACATTCAACGTACCTCAAAAAGCTCTACAACATCGGATATTTAATTTTTCATTTCTCAATAGGTGACCTTATTCGACAAGGTTCTTTAAACGCCGTGATCAAAACTTTTGGTTTGCCCTAGGTATTATATTTCGTTGATACGATAAATAAAATTGTTTCCTCTAATTAATACTTAGGTACAGTTCCTGACCGGCAAATTCCTACTTTCAACTTCCCATGATTTTTACAGCGGGAATCTGCTGGAAATTTACGAATCAGAGCGCTAAAATCATTGATCTGAGTAATATTTTTGAAACATTATAATATAATGTCTGTCTATTTCTTTTTATTTTTGATTTTGTGTTGACAATGAAAAATGATTATTGATTTTTATTTAAAAATTTTATCTGTAATTTTTTTAATTCAATTTTTAATTGTTCATTTTCTTGTTGAGATAATTGTAATGTACGTTTAACTTGTACAAAATCTTTAAAATTATTATTTAATTGTCTTTCACGAATATATTGTTCTTCTTCATGAATTTTTTCTTGAAGTTGTTGTTGATAATATTTAATAGTTTGTTTTAATTCTTCATTATCATTATTTAATTCTTGATATTTATTTAATTGAATATTAAATTTTTCTTTTAATAAAACAATTTCATTTTGAAATTCATGTAAATATATTTGAGAATTTTTATATTCAATTTGTAATTTAGATAAATTTTCTTCTGTTTGATGATAAATTTGTTGTAATTGATTTAATTGTGTTTCAAATTCAATACGAGTTTCTTCTGATACATTTAATGATTCTATTAAAAGTCTATTTGTTTGTTCAAGTTTATTTATACGAATATTTAATGTTTCATTAGATGTTTTTTGATCTGAAATTGTTGTTGTAAGATTTTGAATTTCAATTTGTTTATCATTAAGTGATTTTTGTACAATAATTAATTGTTGTTGAGCAGTTTTTAAATCTTTTTCTAATTGAATATTTTGATGATCAACACGTTCAAGTTCACGTTGATATTCTTCACGATTTATATTATGTTGTTTTTTAAGATTAATTAATTCATCATGTAATTGATGATATTTTATTTCAAAATCTTCTCCTTCAGTATTTGTTGCTTCATCAATATGTTCAAGATCTAATATAAGCTTTTAAAAAGAATAAAAATAAAACAATTTCTTTAAATATATATGGAAGTGGCCAGTGAAAGATACCTCAATGTTATTTTTTTCCCTAAAACCTTAGCAATACATCGGAGCGACCAAGTAAATATCTACCTTTTGAACCCTATAGAGTGATAAGAACGACGTGTCTCAAGTATTTGTTTTTTGATATCATATAGTTCAAGATATTTCGTTTTGGATTTTGCTTCCATAATTCACTTATCAAATGGAAGGCGCCCATGAATTCTTGAGAGTATACAATGCAGACGTTCGATGTGGTATTGATTTCGAGTTTAGCGTTAGATTGAGAACCTCAAATAACTGTTTGACATCAGACGTAGGAGACCGAAAAAAAAAGTCCAACAAATAATAGATTTAAGGTACAGATAGCCTGTGACTTCCAACATAAAATTATTCATGTGTCTCAGTACTACTATGGAAGTGTGGACGATCTCACAATTTTAAGAGAATCAAGATTATTAATGCATACCGAAAACGATGTTCAAATAATTGGTGAAAAATACGTAACTACTCCAAGAAAGAAACCTTGACAAGGTATATTGACAGTAATAGATAAACTTTACAATAAGAATATTTCCAGTACAAGAGCTGCTATTGAAAATATCAACCAACATATCAAAACTTACGTTATTTTAGACCATATCTATAGACGATCTATCGATAATTTTAAGAAGATAACGGAAATTGTACGTGTTGTTTGTGCTTCCCTAGTCGACTCTCCTCAACGAAATTCCCGAAGGAGGTGCATATCTCAGGATTCTCCTAAAACTCCCCTGGAAGTCCCTCTAGAATTTTTCAGAGGATTCTAATGGTGGCTTCCTGGAGAGATCTTGATAATACTCATCAATTCCCTAGGAAGTCCCTGAATTTCCTCTTAACTCTTGCAAGGACTCACGACAGGAATTTCCCGGGAGATTCTTCTAGGGAGTCGTGATTAGGGTTTGTCTAATCTTAACCTGATAAAATTTCCTATTCATAAAAAGACCATCTGATATTTTTGTCCAGCTTTAAAACTAACGATGGAAGGTCCTTAACTGATCCACGCCGTTGTCAATGATATTTTGCTCATATGTCGGCGACAGTATTCTAAGAAAAATCCTAAGAGGATTTGTGCTCATGAGCCTTTCTTCGAAGGTTACGATCATTTTACTGATTTTCCCACCTAGTACAAGGTATATGGAGAAAAATTGAAGAACGGAATTTCAATATGAAATTTTGCTCATATGTAGCTCTTATGGTCATTAGAATATTCTACAAGTTTCAGCGGAAAAAATGTTTTCTTTTGGAAATATTGATTCTGAAAAAACTTGTCTCATAATCTATAAAGTTCGGAAAGACTGACTTTTTTAAAAATTGAATATCTCTAAAAGGAAGCATTTTTTCCGCTGAAACTTTTAGAATGTCCTAATGACCACAAGAGCTACATATGAGGAAAATTTCAGATTAGAATTTCGTTCTTCAAATTTTCCCTATACACCTTGTACTAGGTAGAAAAATTAGTAAAATGATCATAACCTTCGAAGAAAGACCCATGGGCACAAACCCTCTTAGAATTGTTCTAAGAATATTGTCCCAGATATATGAACAAAACATCATTGAAAAACGGTGTGGATCAGTTAAGGACCTTCCATCGTCAGTTATTGTTGATAAAACTCGTTTCATAAGATTTTATTTTATTTCAGATGCTTCTAGCCAGGATTTAGTCACGGAAGCAATACTTGAGACACGTCATTCCTATCGCTCCATAGGACTCAAAAAGTAGGGATTTACATGTGAAGTACATTTGATAAATAAATCATATTGCTTCGATGTATCATTGAATTTTTAGAAAAAAAGAAAACAAAATTGCGGTATTCTTCACTAACCACTTCCATGTATATAAAATAATTTCATGTACTTCAGGTGTTGCTAATGGTATTTCAGTAATTGAAGTTTCTTCAGGTTCAACTGGATCAATATTCGCAGGTGATTGTATAGGATAATCTTGACGTCGTTTAAGATGTTCAATATGTAATCTTAAATGACGATTTTCATCAATAACATGTCGTAAATATTTTAATGTTTGTACATGACGAGATTGAACAAATTTTTCAATAGTATCAGTAACTTCTTTCTTTACATCGTCGTCACCGTCATCGTCATCATCATCATCATCATCATTGTCGTCAATAGTAATCTTTGTGCGTTGTTGCATGTTGACAATAAAAAAAATATTGAGAATGAAGTGTGCATGGCATTACAATTCTTTCTTTCGACACCTTTCATGTAAATGAAAGAAAGAGAGAGAGGGAGAGGGAAAAATATTTCTATTCTTTATAGGATCTCTTGGAGAAATGAAATAAAATATATCTAAGTAGATTGCTCAAATAATTTAAACTCATTGATATTGAATTGAACGTAATTTTGCTTGAAACATTTGATCGTACAACATAATTTTTCATTTCAATTGTTGATTAAATTTTATTAAACTTTAATTCATAATCATATTTATAATCAAAATTAAGTGATTATTTATTATTTTACTCATTATATTAAATGAATTTTCTATGTTATTCAGAAGAAATAACTAGAATATTATTAGTTCAATACAAAATTTCGTTCTTTTTTTTTTTTATTCCTAAAGATGTGAACTTTTCCAAGCATGACTTTGTAAAATATTGTATGAAAATAAAAAAAAGCATAATAATAAATTAGAAAATATGTAATTAAAAAATAAATTTCAGTCGAAGAAATTTTATTGTCATAGACGAGAACTATCTGAAACATACAAAAAAAAAAGCAAAAGCAGTAGTTTCCAATTCCAATAACCTAAGTAAATTAATGAATAGTTTTGTCTTCAAACGTAAAACAAAAAAAAGCCAACATATTTAAATTCTCAAAATAAAAAGAAATATAGTTTACTTTTACTTATTAATCACTTTCAAAAACCAACTACATCCAATTTTGATTATGAATTAAAAAGAAAATATTCTTATGGATTCTGTTATTACGAAATAAAACCTTAGTATTAACTCTCGAAGTATACAATTACATCTCAGTCTGAATCACGTATTGAGTATCATTTTCATCTTTTTTTTTTGTCATAAAAATTAATCTATAAGAAAAGATTTGAAAAAAAAAACTCCCTTTCATCAATATTTTAATAAATTGTTATCACAAGTTCTACATTATTTTCATTAAATATTTCATGACATATTTGTTCAATAACAACAAGATTTTATCAAATAATGAACTATTATATTTGTTATGTACTTTCACCAAAAAAAAAAATCCATAGACATATTTTTATATTGGTGAAATAAATCATCTCATTTATCATATGAATAATTTGTATGGAATTATTATTTTATTTCGATCAATTATGAATCAATTTCTATCTTACTCATTTTTTGTTTTAAAATGAGATTTCTCATTCAACATATTTCAAGCATTCATTTTCTTTTATATTCAAGAGATCTTTTCTACTTTCTTCCAAAGAAAAAAAAATGAATGATTCCATTTCGAATATGTATATAAATAAAAGGCTCGACTTGCCTCACAGGCTAATTTCATTTTGTGTATCATTGACAACGGCATATATTCTTTTAGTTCACTTTGTTTACATAGTTCAATTATGTTAAAGAAGAAGAAAAAAAAAAGCTTTGAGAAGTACCATTATGGCATTTTCTGTGCGGCAGAAAAATCAATCTTTCTTTCTTTGTTTGATTACAAAGAGAAAGAGAAAGGCACTCGAATGTGACAGTCTTTTCTAAGAGGTAAAAAAAAAAAAAATTTTTTAAAGTCTTCTTATTACCTGTTCGCTACAGTTGAAGTGTTGTGTCTGTTTGTGCATACATAGAGAGACAGAGAGAGAGAGAGAGAGAGAGAGAAAAAGAGAAAGAGCTACTATAATTAGAAGAAAAAGAGAAAGAGAGTGATGAAATATATTTCATTTTAACATACGAACATAAAGCTCAGTCATTCGTTTGGAAGGTATGTGAAAGAAAGTTGGACATACATATATATATACATATATTCACATAGGTAATTATCATAGGACTTCTTATGTTTGTCTTTAATTGAGGTATGAGACACTAGAAAGGATAGATATCTATATAGTTAGTTATTGTAATTGCTTCTAATATGTTCTTTAACTCTTTGCCTATTCTACACCTTGAGCAGAATGTATATGTCAGAAATATCACAAGCTAGCCAAAGAATTGTGCACTCGTACATACAAACGAGAAATATATATATATATATATATGCTTAGATACATACACACACATATGTCGATATTTTCTTTTCTTTTTTTTTTTTTCTTGTGTATCCATCCTTTTTCCTCTATCATGTATATGCACAGTAGCTGAGGGAAAAAAGAAGGAACAGGAAGACGAGTTCTCGTGTGTATTTGTGTTGTATTTTTTTTTCTTTGTTATGTGTAAGGCAAAAGAAGAGTTTTATATTGAGACCTTGCATGATCGTTGTTATTGTCGTCTCCACGACGATGTGCATATATATATATATTTTCTCTTTTTTTTTTTTATTTTATTTTATTTCAATTGCTCCTCTTGCCTGTGCCCTGATGGTGTGTGTACAGGTATGCTATTCTCTGTTGTTGTCGTTCTCTTTCTTTTTTCGATTCGATTGACGCTCGCAACGGTAAATGCTGTATGCTTTCTCTCTCTCTCTCTCTCTGATTTCTTTTTACTCTGTTACAATCCACTTTACTCTCGTATTCTGTCTGTCGATGTATGCCATGTGTATATTTATTTTTTCAAAAAAGAGTTGTAAAAAGAAGTGACTCTGTCATATCATTTATATATAGGTAAGCAAAATTCTTTTTTTTTTTTTGTGTTTTGTGAACGAACATCAGAGTAATATTAACAGATGTTTAGATAAAAGGAAAAGAAAATATTCTTATGTAGGAATCGGAGGGAGGAAAAAAAAAGGGCGCTTACGCCATTCAAGTTGATCATAATCATTATCAATGATGTAATTAGCCTTTTCTTTAGTTCTATCATATATAAATATCTATATATATATATATATATATTAGTTTGATTTTATCTTTTTGTTTGATTAATATTTTATTAAAAAAAAAAAAAAAAGAAAATAAAACCAATGTGACTAGGTCGATGTCATTGCAATTTGTTGATAAATTAAAGTCATATTGCACTACATTCGATCTCGTTGTCATTGTGTTATATGACGACGCAAAAGATAGATTTGATTTATTGATATAGTATACAAAAATCATACATTATTTATCTATTTTGTCTGAATCAAAAGAAACAAAAAAAAAAAAAAAGAAATCGAACAGTTGATCAAGAAAAATAAAACATTTGCATTATTCTTTTTTTTTTTTTGTCTGTACACATGTATATGAAGAAATGTCAGCTTTTAATTTTTATACGTGATTAAGTACAAAGAAACAAATAAAGACAAGAAAAAAAATAAAGATGGTTGTAAAAAAAGAAAAGAAAAATACAGAAAGATAATAATCTATTTTTATGAACTACAATCACCAAATGTTGAATTCCATTCAATATATTTATCGAGTGTTAATGTTGATATACTTGCTCGAATTTTTTTTAATGCTTGAACAAAATCTTGTTGTGATATTGAACGTATATGACTAATTGATAATTGTTTTAATTTTTCAACATCTAATTCACGTACAGGACCCATTGCAGCATCTTTTGCTAAAGCAGTTAAATCACTACCTGAGTAACCATTAGTTTCACTTAAGAAAAAGAAAATATTTTTGTATTATTGAAATTATAGAAAAAAAAAAAAAAAAAGCAAATTTTTGTTTTTGGGCTTACTTAGCAATCCATCGAAAATCATTTTCTGTTAAATTATGTTCTTGTTTATTAAGTAAATATTTTAAAAGTTGTTCACGTGTTCGAATATCTGGCAATTGAATATAAATACGACGAGGAAAACGTCTGGAAAAATTAAAAAAACAAAATATACAAAATCTAAAAAACAAAATTTTTTTTTTTCTTTGTACCTTAATGCTGCGTCATCTAATTCAAATGGACGATTTGTTGCAGCAAGAACAAGAATACGATCATCATTATTTGTTTGAACCTATATATATAATTAATGATTTATTTTCTTTCTTATTATTTATCTTACACCATCAAATTGAATAAGAAATTCAGTTTTAAGTCGACGCATTGCATCATGTTCGGATTCTTTACGTGTTGTAAGTAATGAATCTACTTCATCTATAAACAATATGATAAATGAAAATATAATATAAAAAGATATCAACCAACCAATAAAAATAATTGATGGTTGTAATTCACGAGCTGCAGCAAATAAAGCTCGAACTAATTTTTCACCTTCACCAACCTAATGAAAAGAGAAAAATTAAAATAGTCATACATATACAGAGAAATGAATAATAAAACAGACATATTTTGATGTTAAACTTGATGCACTTATATTGAAAAATCGTGCTTTAGCTTCAGAAGCTACAGCTTTTGCCTATTCATATAGAAATAAATTATCATTGTAGATTTTTAATTTTAATTACCAGCATTGTTTTACCATTACCAGGTGGTCCAAATAATAGAATACCTCGTACAGGTGCACGTAAACCAGTAAACATCTATTAAGACAAAAGAAAAATTATTTGTTTCATTTAACTTAAATAAAATTATTTACTTCTGGTCGAAGAACAGGTAAAATAACAGCTTCTTCAAGTGCTCGTTTAGCTCCTTCTTGACCACCTACGAAATAAAATAAAAAAAATAATCATCTTAAATTTGAATTATTCTATATAAGAATTTTATATTATTTGAAAATTATAACTAGTTACAGTCAGAAGCAATTATATTCCTTTGGTCTCAAATTCAGGTTAAGGAATAATCTGTCTCATCACTTTTCTGAAAATGAGGTCTTATTATTTTATCATCTTACTTGGATATTTGCGAGAGGGCATTAGAGACTACTTAATGGTATAATATTACAAATAGATCATTGAACTCGATTTATGCAAAAGTTGAAACAATATATGCATGCAAATAAAAGTGTTACATGGGGTTTTTAAATATGTATATTTCACATAGATGTAGAGAGCTGCGAGTCTTTCCAGACCCGGATGCTGAAGGTTAGTTTTTCTCGAGTTCGGATTTACAAAAATGTGAATTCACAGCTTCCTATAAAGATAACAATATTTGTCTTTAATGAAAGTTATTCATT